TTTTTTCTTTTACTAATGAATTTGATTGGTTGAAAATGAAACAAGAGAAAAGAGAGAAACAAGAGACCGTGTCAGATGCGAAACCACCGACGCGTTTCGTGGAGAGTCTCGACGGGGAATGTATGGGGTAACCTGAAATCAGCCGTTTTTTGTCCCTGCTGTGATAAAAAGAACGCCTGATCGCAGGTTGTGCATGGGGCGAAGTAGCCTCCAACGCAGACGCTCTCTGTTCTCATTACGCAATCTTTCTTAGATTGCGTGACGAACCCAGAAGGCGTCTTCGTTGGAGGCTAAAGATAAGTGCGCTCATTCACCCGTCGACGATTGCAACAGACCTCCTACTCAATTATCCAGGCCTGCAGACAAAGAGAAACACAGGAAACCTGATAATGCGATCCCGCTGCGTGTCCCGTCAAATTGAAAGGTCAAATGTCGCACACCTGTCCACGTGCCAAAAAGCTTTCTAGCCTTTTTTTTTTTTAGAAATGATTGAGTGGGGGAAATGGAACGTGCACTGCATATCGATATTCTTTCCTTTTTTTTCTGAAAGCACATGACTCAAACCCGGGTCATAGCTGTCCTCGAAACATTTTGGTATTCTCCAGATCTCGGGAACGCCCCCAGTGTCCAAGAGGTCCCATAGCAAAAGCCGATCTTATCCAATGCAAAATGTACTGGGATAAAGATGAAAAAAAAAATCCTAAACGATTAATAAACCGGTTAAAATGATAACCATCAAACCCAGATTGCAAAACCGTAGAAGTTACCCTTAAAATATTGCTGACATCATAATCACATGCAACGACACCCTCCCCCGCTTGAAATTGGATTCTTGTCTGAGACTGGTATCTAATGGCAACAATTGTGTTGCATGAACCAATCAGGGAGTCGCAATTGTTATTATGTCTAAATTTGGTAGAGAGTCGTTCAAGGCCGCCCTAAAATGTGCCGTCTGCCTTCTCTAGTTCTCTTCCCAACCGCAACGATTCGGAAGCGTCGTCGAAAACGTTAGGGTTTAATACCCGACCATTTTTTTAAGAATTTTACCGGACAAGTCGCCAAAATACCTCCCTTAAAGGAACTAGATTTCCCCCTCCCCATCTTTGACGGACTGGACCTGAAGCAAGAGCCAGAATCTTGCGTTTACTCGACATCATGTACGCCTATGGATGTTCTGGATCTGTACGAGTCTGGCGAATGGTCAGCAGCGAATTCACCTTGCTCTGAACTGTTCGAAGACGTCGATTTGAGCTCTGCTTCTGATCTGGATGAGAGTTGCACGTATCTGAACGACATCGCGATCGACTTTGCCTCTTACCTGGATCCTGCCACCCTGAGTACCAGTCCCGAAGATTTGAGCAAGTATTTAGCCCCCAAGGAGAACAAGCGTAGAGAAGTAGAGCCATATTTACCAGAAGTAGAGCAGGGTTACGCTCCTGTTAAGATTGTAAAAGCAAATTCCAAAGATAATTCCCCCAAACCGGCTGTGACGTATAAATCAAGTACCCTGGCGAAAGAACCTGAGCAGAAGTCGCACAGGCTCCCATCCATCGCTTCCCAACTGAAGGCACCGAAGTCTCGCCGAGCCTCGTCTTCGAAGAAATCACTGGAGAAAGGCAGCGATGAGTATCGGCAGAAGCGAGAACGTAACAACATAGCGGTCCGCAAAAGCCGCTTCAAGAGCAAGCAGAAATATGTGGAGACCCAACACAAAGTTGACGAGCTACAAGAGGAGAATACGCGCCTACAATCCAAGGTGGATTTTCTCACTAAAGAGCTCAACGTTCTTCGTAGCCTGTTTGCCACCACCGGAGCATACAAGGATCCTGTTGTGAATGCAGCGCTCCTGTCTCACGGAATTCCGACCTCTCATGGACTTGTCGCCACCCGTTAATAAAACCTAATGGAACTGTTAACTGATTGTGGACTAAAAAAAAATAGTAGATCTCTGGTTATGATGAAATTCGATGTAACAACACAGCCCGAATAAATGCAGATTGATCACAAATATGGAGTGGTGGTTCTTGCTGCGATGTTGCCGGTAAATTAAAGTAGGGTTTATTACATGTAGATCGATGTTCGTCGTTTGCATGATCAGTTTTTCTTTCTTCGGTTGGTATATTCCTCTGTGTTAAAATTTCGACAGAACTTTCACTTTCCTAGAACTGTGACTAGTGAAGTGCTTTCAAGCTGAAGTTTTTATTAAGCTTCAGCTTTCTCCGTTCGAATTCTTGATCAACCTAACAAGTATGACTAGAAGAGCTTAATTATGCGAAATTTACATTCTGGAACAACAAACCGGTTAATTCAGCGTTATGTACGAACCAACACGTAGAAAACTCTCCAAATTGGCGAGATCCACGATTATATTTTCACTGCGGGAATTGACTGCGATTCTACCTCTGCAGAAAATATTTTTTGAAACGAGCTGAAACGTCTCTAAGCGAACAATAGAGACTCGATTTTGTCTAGACTTGATGCTAGCGTTGTAAACGTCCGTGTTCTGTTGAAAATAGGACTGTAGCTTTGTTTTGTGACATCATTCTACACTTCATTAGTTTTTCACAATACTAAATTAGTCTGGCCATGTTTTTTCTCGCACCAAATTAAATAGATCTATTTTATGCAGCTAGTCGATTTCTAATATTGTTGAATTTGATAAGATTGCTGCAACCCACCGTATTGGCCAATGGCTGTTCCGAAAGCTAATGCTAGCAATTTTAAGATCGGATCAAATTGTTGGAAACGCTATTGCACTTAGCTGGAGCATCTTGATCACTTTTAAGCTAAAAGGTTTTCAGAGTAAAGTACTTCGAAACGACAGCCTTTACACAGCTGGTTGCAGGGGGTGATAAATTTTGGTGAGAACTTGAGCATTGCTTTCACAGATAGCAATTTGTTTTGATTTCTTACCTAGCCCCTTGAGGCTGAAGTTATTGTGAAGTTTTTTGTGCTGGGATTAGAAAAAATACAAGATATATTTAGATCAATAGACCAATTTCGATATATTAAAATTCAGCCTAATACAATAGACCTCAGCACGAGGCTCTGGGGAATGAACCCCACAAACTCTGTAGTATTCCCCAGAGCCTCGAACTGAAGTCTACTGTTTTAGCCTGAAGTTTAATATATCGAAATTGGTCTATTTGGCGTGGTTCAATTTTACATAGGAAGGGATTGCATTTGTTGGCAAAATGCACTGTGCTACCAACTTTTTTAATTTTAAGGATGTTTAGAAATGTCAACATTTTTATTAATGAAAGAGATGTATTCAAAATAGCCAAGATAATTTGATAAGGGACATGTAAGAGACAGTGAAATATTTCTGTTTAGCTGTCACAAGGCAGTGTCAAATTTACTGTTGTCCCAAGAAAATTATGTGCAAGGTTTGACTCAAAAAATTGATACTGACAACTTTGTCTTTAACAGAGATCGCCAAGTATCATGCAAGTTTTGGAGCCAGTCCTGGACACCATGCTTCTCTGAATGGCTAGGCTATTAAATATTTTTTTGCGTGCAACTTGTTTTGGAGATTCTCGCAGGCAGGAGCAGAAGAACTGAGTCCAGAGAAAGAGAAGTTGCTTGTCCCTGGGTGAAAATTATTAAAAGGAACATGGTCATGCAATCTCCAGAATTTCGGTACCAACCAACTTGGTCTAGAGTAAACTGAAATATCCCAAATGAGCTTAATTAAGGCTAAAAGAAAACACCAAAACAATGGGCATGGACAGGCATATTAAAACTGCAGACCAATGTGAATTGCATTTGGGTGAACTTCAAAAACTGAAAAGCTGTGTTTGTTTCAATTTCTCATTCAAGTGTCCCTATGTTTGGAAATTATCCTTGGTTAATATGTGGCTATGATTTTGCCTGGGAGGGGGGAGGNATCCTTGGTTAATATGTGGCAGATTTTGCCTGGGAGGGGGGAGGGGGGTGCAAAAGTGACGGGGATGACTGAATGGGGACAAAAATCGAAACCCCCTAAAATCCCTAGAGCTTTCAACACCAACAAAAATCCCTGGACCAAAAATTAACCCCACTAAGAAATCCCATGCTGCAACAAGCTGCATGTAATACATTAGCATGATTAAATATTAAAATAAAAGCAATTATTGTTGAATACGTTTGGTTGTACTTTATTTGAATACCCTTCTCCCCACAAAAAAAATACTCAAATCAAGCCACCTTCTTGCCCCCAACAACAACAACAAAAAAACAAAAATCCTTCACTTATCCCTGCTGCTTGAAATCTGGATTACTCCCTGGAGATTTTGCTAATGAAGGACCTCTACCTTGTGAAAATTGACATACTTTTAGAGAGTTAAATTCCTTTCTTACAGCTGCATGGACTTGACGATGTTGACAGTCGGCCCTTGACACTTAACAGCTGCTGTAATTTTGAATATGCCTAAATACTATACCATCAGCAGTTCATGACAATGCGATGGTCCACTCTTTAGTTTATGGTCCCACCCTACTCTGGTCACACAGGGCCAGAAGTTGTGGTGGAAAAGAGCAAAGAGAATGTAGGCACAGCTAATTTTGTAGCACAGGCCATGTCAGTCACTATCAGGAAATAGCTTGCCTAATCTTAGTTTATGTAAAAGTACATACTCGGGGCAGATACCCTAATTTTCGACCCTTACTGGCTCTTATTTGACAAGTTCAGGGCACAATTATCCTTTTAACTGCCCTGTTACTGAATAAACGTTTGGTATCGTATCAACTCATTAACTCAAGAATTTTACGAACACAGCTGAAGAAATTTGTTGTTGAGCTGAAAAAAAGTAAATTTTGTTTTACAGGGCACAGGAAGCAGCTGGTCTCAGAACTCTATTGGCTAAATTCAAATTGCTACAAATGTGTTGATAAACTTTGATACATGCAGCAGATGTTAACAAAGTATGTTTTAGGAATCCAGCTTGTGCAACCGTCATCAACAGCTTTGCTTGAAATAACTTTTACACCCAAATAGTGCAGTTATGATCGACTGTCATGGATTAATTTTAATAGACTAGGTCAGATTTGCCAGACAGAACTATGTAGACTATTAGTAATTTATGTCTTCACTGAAAAAACTTAACAGAAAGTTACTAAATGAAATAAACTTCAGCTTTCATTTATGATCTGCATAAAGAAAAAGGTCCATGCCTTCCTATGCACCCAACGGATATTGCTCAGATGTCAAACTAATTTTCAATTGACATCAACATAACTCAATACCTTCAGCAGAATCCCAAGTTTTCAAACCACCAAGGGAAACAAAAATTGGTTTGAAAAAATTGCCCAGGTAGTTTGAGAAATTGGAGGTAAAATTACAGTGTTTGACTGAGGGAGGGAAACAACGTTTGATTTGAGTTATTGAAAATTGAGGGTTCAAGAGATCAGGATTTCACTGACTATTTCTAAAGTTAATTTCCTGAAAACTCTGTCTCTGAAGACTCTGTCTGGTGGTTCATTAGTAAATTTTTTAATATTAGTGGTGTTTATTACTTGGCTTCACACTAGAAGCTAAGTTAGTTTCAAGTAAGCACTTGACTCAAGTGCACTTGAAAATCTCAAGTTGCACTTTAGAAAACTTGGCTTCACACCCGATGACAAAGTATATTACTTGAAGCACTTTCACAGTAAGTCATACATATCACAAATGCGATTGTTTGGCAGTAAAATCGTGAAGAAATGATATAGTTGCTTTGTTGCTAAAGTGCATCACAGCAATAGCAGCAACACAAAGGAACAGACAACATCTGAATTTCTCTAGCATGGCTCAACAACATGGTTTTCAGCAAAGAAATAGCTGAAGGGCTTTAGCTAACCTAGAAAATGCATTTCCGTGTGACCCATTCAATGTTCAACAGAGTTGTTCACATGCAAAGATGTGACCTGGTGTAAACTTGAAACACCAGCTGGTTTGTAATTTACAGAAGACCATTGGGGGTGGTATGATGTGAAAAGCGATGGTTTAGCCCCTGAAAATGAAATTCAAGCAAGTTGCTTATCGGTCAGTTTATCAGAATTGCAGCAACGCTGTACATCGCTTTCAGTTGGCTTCCATTTCCTATTGGTCACATGTGTTCTCAAGAGTGGTATAGACCATACTCGGTGGTGCACTTCAGCTTCTTTGAACTACAAATGTTTCCATGGTCACTAAGTAAAGTCCAAGTACATTTTACCCCTTCACACTAAAAGTAGGTTCCAAGTGCACTTAGGTTATACTTACAAGCACCATTGTGAAGCCAAGTGTTGATAGACATACTAGGCTTGTCTTTTACAGTAATTTACATACACATATGTTTGAAATATAACTAAAGATGGCTATTGTTTGATTTATCTCAAGTCTGTAAAAATATCTGTAAGCTATGTTTTATGCTTGATGTAAAGCTTTTCACACCAGCCCCAACAAATCATATTAAACTGTGTGCTTAAATTGCAGGGGTGTTAAAACACTAAATGGAATTTTGACCAAACTATTCAAATTCAATCTTTGTGCATGCCATTTGTTCTCAGCAATATTAATTATAAAATTATAAAATAACATTGTCACTATAATATTTTACGTAAAGTACTGTACATGTAGTTGTTCATAAGTTCAGTTAATTGTCAGTCAATTTTTTACCAACTCTGTGAAGTCCATCATAAACATGATCATTATAATAACTAAGATTGGTTTTTGATCAATTTACCAGCCAGTTTGAATTCTTACAAGTGAACTCCATTGAAAGCTTAGTACTGACATGATCCTTTGTATAAGAAATTCACTGATTCACTGGAAGCATTTAACATAATTTATTTCTTATCACCACTCTCTCACCAGATAATACACTGTTTCATCAAATTATACTTTCTTCCTCCTTTGTAACCTTCCTCTCCTGTAGAAACAATTTGCACAACAAGGTACAATGCCTGCCCCTCCCCTGCCACTTGTACAATTCTGTTTTTCCTCTTGACGGAGGTTGCAATTTCCTTCCAATGTCGTAAAATTATCACGTCACGAACAAGATCTGAGAGTCCATAAAAACAGTCATGTAGCATGGGACATTTCAATCATTGCATAGTTTTGCAAGTCTTGCAGTACTCTGGGGTGGCTGAGAGCAAGCCATACTGCCAATGATTAGCAAAAATGTACAGAGTTACTACAGAATAATTTTCTTTTTTGAAAAGAACTCTCATGCGGTCTGAATGAACAAGAACACTACAGAACACCTGATAAAACTGGTCTTAGCATACAAATACTATCAAATGATTGTACTGTTGTTTCATGCATACTTTTACTATACTGAATGTAGTTGGATTATGAACCAGATGCATATTACATCTCTGTTGCTTTTATAAAAATTAATTGCATCTATATAGGGAAACAGTGTCTTTGGGATATCCCTAAGAGTCTAAGATTAATTTCTTTTAGTATTAACCTCAAATGCAAACAGATAAAAGGAATCATTCTAGAACCCTATGGGTCCCAATCATCACTGGCGCCTGAATGCATAGAATCTGTGTGGTCAGTTCTTGGAGGAGCAGGTATCATTGCTGAGATCTTGTCCATTGCAGATCCTCCACCTGCTACTGCCTCTGAGGACCCTCCAGAATCACCCTTGGATCCCGAAATACCCTTACGACGCATAGACAGTTTAGCAAATAAGTCTCCCATGAGATCACCTCCACCTCCAGAACTCACAGCAGACTGCTCTTTTTCTGCTTTTTTCTTCATCTTCCTCTCTTTGACGCTGCGTAGTTTAGCATTGCCCTTGCCACCGGCTTTGCGGATGGATTCCATTAAAGAGGCTCTACCATCTGAAGCAACTGCTGCTGGCACATCACTTGGCACAGCTGTAATTGGAGCAAAAAATGATCAACAATAAGCTGATACTACAGCACAATTGAACCTTTGGTCGTCTTGTTAGGAGCTAGATCAGAGGTGACTGCATTCTCACAAGGAGTAGGGAGCCACTTCTTTACAGCTCATGTTTTTCATGACAATTATTTTGCCCTGTTTCCCCTTCTAATAGAACAAAGCACAGTTCACAATTGAGGAAAGCACTAGTTACCTGCTGGAGGCCCTTCTCCTGGAGGGGGTGGGGGAGGTGGTGCTTCTGGTCCTGGTGGAGGGGGAGGTGGTGGTGGTGGAGGGGGTGGAGGTGCAACATCAGGTCCTGGTGGTGGTGGAGGAGGGGGAGGGGGTGCTGGAGCAGATGACGGTGGGGGAGGGGGTGGTGCTCCATTTGTCTTTTGTACTTCCTCCTCTATAACGTCTGGCAAGTCAGGTATGTTGGAACCAGGAAGTGATGGGGCAATTGATGGACCAAGCTCTGCACTGTTGAGTTAAACAGAGTAAAAATGTAAGAGTTACCATCACAAACAATGGAAACAAGGCTTGCCTACTAAATGGGGTTATCCAATTAATCTTTGATGAAAAACTCCCAACTCAAGCTTATGCACAAATTTCTCAAGTCTTGCTAACAATATTTGAGCTGTTACTGTTGTCTTACCAAGACACATGTTCAAAAAAAAGTATCTCATTTGACTCTAAAAAAGGTGGCAGGTTTACAACTAGTAAACCTATACAGTTGGATCCCACGAATTCAAACTCTGTTATTTTGAATTCTCTGCTATTTCAAACTCAAAACCATTTCCCTTGGATGTCCCCTTACTATCGGTGATTTTCAACTCCCACTATTTTGAACTATTTTTCATTTCCCCTAGTTCGAAATAGCGGGGTTCAATTGTATTTCCTTACTCAAATAAAAAGGACATGGGTGCTCATCTGAAATTTTGAAAAGAAACCTAAGAGATACCAATGTTTTGTGGGCATTGCTTGAAATTTTTTTCACTCCTAAGAGGTAGCAATTCTAAAACAACACATCATCTCCCATGAGGTCATATTTTTTTGGGCTCAATACCCTAAAAGGTATCACAAGAGCTGCTGCTGTGTACCTTTCGAGGCTGAGCACCCTAAGAGGACACCAAACCCGCTTCTTTAACTCCTGAAAGATACAACAAGCACCCCCGTCTTATTTATATGGGACCCTCCCTCTCATGAACCCCTCCCCCAGGGGTTGACCTTAAATTTCTCATACGCATTCAACTTCCCAATTTCCAATAGGCCATCATGCCTCCCGAGTATGTGTGTATTGGTCTTTGTTGCAAAAACCTAGCTAAGCCCATTATATTTGAATTTACATTTTTTTTTTTTTACATTTACAAGACTCCTCACTTGTAAGACAGATCATCAGCAATCCCTGGAAGATCAGGCAAGTACACTGGCACATCAATCTCAGGGACATCACCTAAGTTCGGTACATAGAAATAGTTTTGTGCTGTCATTCTATCCAGTGCTTCTCCCTGAGTGATGGAGATAGGTGCAGCACCGATATCTTCTTCCTCCTCCTCAATGTTACTCCTTGTCTTAGTCACTGCACCGGCCAGTGGATCCAACATCACATATTTCTTGTAAGGATTTTCAGTGGTGTTGAAAAGCAACAGTGAACTCACAGAGGTGAGATTCTTTGGCAGCGATCCTAACCCTTCACCTTTCATTTCATCTTGCTTCTTCTTCACATTCAAGTGGACATTGTAGAACTGTAATTTTTCTTTCAACGTTCGTTCGTCGACAGGAGTGAACTTCGAGTTTAGGTTGTAAGTTTGCCGTTTGATTTCGGCTACCTCGTTCTCCTCGGAATATAGCGATTTATAGGGCTCGAGCTTTTTCGGTGCGGGGTATTTTGCACTCGAGAACACTCTTGTGGCCTTCTTGATTCCCTTGATTTTCTCGATCCTGGCTTGCGCCAAATCTGCACGGTGATTTATCGCTGCAAGCCGTTCCTTATTTTCGGCCACTCGGTTACTGATTCGGGTAAAAATATCTTTGGACACTTTCTCCAAATATTCTAGTGAGTCCACTATTTGGTTTATGGATTCTTCTCTTCGAAGGCTGGGTAAAACTAACGGAACACTGTAAGTTTGGACAGGCATAGTTACTGATTTTTCCACAAAGCCCTCAATGATAAACTACCGATCCGCCATGTTTGATCACATGAGCCGTGGACGAGGAAATATGGGAAGAGTAATTTTCTATTTTTGAACACACCCTCCCCTCCCTGCGAGTTGTTAGCAGCTATTTGCAGCCAAATGTAAATGGTAAATGCCTCTACGCATATTTCCCTCCAACGGTTAGAAACTGGAGGTAGTGTAAGACCTATCTGCCTATATTTCTTACTATTTGGCTGATGAATAAAATAATTAATTCAAGTAAGATGTACTTTAGGGTTGAAATCAACTCATGTCTCTGTATGAATGGACTTTCAGAACACAGGTGCAGTTTCAAAACATTTTACAATACCATAATTTCACGATTCCCATCATAGTTAGTCCCCTCCACTAACTATGTTCCCATAAATGGCTTGGACTTAAGGACAGTATCCACCAGGAGTTCTGCTGTTGAGATTACCTTCTATTTCTGATTAAATTTCAGATGGATCCTAGATTCTCACCACTAATATCAAGTTTATTTTGTCTCACAAATGTAACTGGTTTACTGGGTGGTTCATAGCATAAACTTTCTGAGAAAAAGCTTTAAGCTTTAAACTATTTGGCATATACTGTAACCGTGATCCTTAAATGGTGCTACCAGTAAAACAGGTGACAAATACGAAATGTAAGGCTTCTTTACTACATGTACAAGAGGCCATTGAACTGTGAACATTGTTAATTTGACATCATAAAATAATGGGAAGAACTACATACATTTGTAATAAATATATATTTATTTGCTTCGATAAACCTTGTCTTATGCATCAGTACAGAAAATAAAGCAAATATTTTTTGATAAATGTTTATACTCTGTTGTACTCTATAATTTCACTCAGTAATTCTTCCAGGTTGCACTTTTAAGTACTTGCCAGCCATTTTCAACTCTGTGCTACTCAGGCTAACCAGGGCTCTACTCCCACTAAACAGAATGCTATTTAATCTAACCAGGGTACATTTCAGTCTAACTGCAAAAAACTTTCAATTTAGTATGGAACAGCTGATCAAACCAGGGCTGTAGCCAGAAAAAATTATGACGAAGGCAATGACTATAGCTAAATTCTCTTCCATGGATCATGCATACTTAAGGCATCCATGGTTGAATGTCGATCGATACTCTTGGTCAACCCTTGATCGAAACTTTACCCATACTCGATCAACACCTCGGTGGACACTTGATGGACATCTCGGTTAACTAATTTTCACAAACATGCCATCAAGTGTCGATTGACACTCAGCCGACTATCAACAGACTGTTGATCGAGTGTCAATTGAGATGTCGATCAAGTGTCAATCGAGTGTCGACCAAGTAAAGTATTGATATAGATGTTAATGGAGTGCCGATCAAGGATATCGATCGACACTCGACCGAGGATGCCTTTGGTACACATGATCCGGTATTAAGGGTGTTTATGATGACTACAAACCACAAAAATGAAAATAAAAAAAAATTAAGCAAGTGCCTTGGTTTGCCTGTTACTTTTTGCAGCCCTGCAAACTTGACTCAGTCAACCAGTAATATCCCCAACATGCACATCAGGACTGCAAAGAAAGACAGACTATTAATAAGCACTCTGTCCCATAGGGTCCCAAAATATGTCCAATAACGGGCAGATCACGTGACATTTCCTGATCTCACTGAATGCATCAGAATCAATTACTTTGCTGAAACGGATCCTGCTCCAAACTTCAATTCCCGTTCGAACTGTTCAGCATTCAACGTTCCATCAATGGCTTCACAGTTTTCATTGAACACCGAGTAAGCGCTTGGTTCCCAAGCTTTCCTGCTGCCCGCTTGCATACTCGCATACACCCAGTAAAACATTGAAACAAAGAAAAACACCGTTCCAAACTCTATTTGAATGAAGAAACCCCAAAGCAAGATCCAGAAGAGAAGTTTTAAGAACAAAATAAACCAAGAAAACGTTTCCTCGTTGGTCTGGTCAGAATTCAGTGAAAACACTGGTGAAAACCATTTTGTGATTTTTCTGATTCTTGTCCCTTCGAGAGAAAAGGAAGGTTTCCACGAACTCTTTCTAGCTTCTCTGTATTTCTCAGCTTTACTGGCACGGTACTTTTCCAATTCCTTCTCCATGAAACGTGAATTGTGATGGCTTACTCACAAATAAGTTAGCTACAGTCGCATCATGTCTACCGCCATACTTGTGTTTCAATAAAGCGCTGCAAAAACATTATGTGATTGTTACACAACGAAACAATTTTTCCAGAAGGACCGCTAGCCAAGCGGAACGTAATCTCGTTCCCAGATCTCTTGTGGACGAAGCGAACGAGATTAAGCGGAACGATGATTCCTTTATGTGAATTTCCAGGCACGCACTGAAATTATCTAACACAGCATGTGATTGGTTGAGTCACGAACTCGCGTAAAATTACTGGGCAATCAAACCAATAGAATGTGTTGTTAGATAACGCCAGGTATTGCATAATCTTAGTCCCCAGTCTCAGGTGATTTGCGCAATTTATAATGGCGGGATGGAAGTTGTTTTATGCATGTGACAAGATTTGCAGGTAGAAGTACTTGGGAACATACGCTTCGATTAACAAACAACGCTAATTGCTTTCATTCAAAGATGCCTCCGACAATAAAAGTAAACGATGCTTTTATCGATTCCAGAGGTGAGGCCATATTGAACTTTTTTAAGTTGAAAACGATGTTTACAGGACGTGATTTTTTTGATCGCATGTTTTCGTGTGATCGTGATCTTAACAGATGTCGCGGAAGAGATAGAAGCTACGCTGAAGAAGAGAATAATGATTCTTGATGGTGGAATGGGAACGATGATACAAAGTTATCATTTCGAAGAAGAAGATTTTAGAGGTAAATGCGTTAAAATAAATCATATTACTGCATGATAGTTGTACAATTCTGTTGTGTAACGCACAACTCTCTGCGGGAAGGGTTTCGCAATTTGTTAACTTGCACAGCACCTCGAGTATTGGAAATTATCATTTTCTAGACCTTTACATTTGTTTTCAGATCAACTTTGATTTTCTCAATTTACTAAAACAAAGTAGATTTCAAGTTTCAGATTTATTATTTATCTGATGTGTTTATGTCACGCAAGAAAAAGGTTTCCCAGCTCTTTCAGTAAAATCACTTCACGTAATTTAAAACAGCTTTCTGAATGGCACCTTTGTTATTTATTCTTATAGTGTGTTATTCAAAGAGTCGCATTGAGAAAGTGATAGATAATTGAAAAATGCTTCAAAATATGATTAAAACACGACAAAGAGAAAACCAGTTTTCAACATTTTTTTCTTAATAACAAAGCTACATATCGAACATGTGCATTATACATGTGTTTGCTAGATCCTCGAATAAACAATTGCAAAATATAATATCTTACCCCCATAACGAGTTAAATAAGACTAGGTCATCATGAGAACACCAGCAAGAAAGATATTGGACATTATTATTCCACTTGTTTTCTCTTGTTTCATTATTTTACATTATTTATTACCTCACATTATCTTTTATGACAGGAGAAGAATTTAAAAATCACTCGCACAACTTGAAGGGGAACAACGACTTTCTCAGTTTAACAAAGCCACATATTATTGAGGAGATTCACAAGGTATTATTTTCCATAATTTGTGCTGACTTTGAAATAGTTCATTCCTTTCATTTGTCATTACACCAACCTTAAAAGATGTAAAAGTGGTATTATATATGGTTTATTGACCAAGCGTGAGGTCAAGATGGCTAGACATTGGCCAAGTTCTATTTTTGCATATTAGAGACGGAGATAAACTCACAAAAAAACTAGAACGAGGCCAATATCAAGAAATCTTAACTAAACAAGCTTTGTCAATAAAGGATTTATTATGCGGCTTTTGGGAAATCTTTCTTGCAGGACTCAGCAGGTAGTCCCAAGCGGGCAACATAATGTCATCTTGCCTAATCTAGGTTTTTTTTCTACACTATGGTTTCCTAATAATTACCATATTTTTCCAGCGGCAAATTAGGTAGTAGTGTAGTAACCATGGTAACCTGTTGTTAAACTTAATCACAAAACATCTGTAATGCTACATGTACTGTTATGTAAACTGCAAATTGACTGAAATAGAAGAAATAACCATACTCATCATGTATTCATGTTACCACTAGGGTTACCTGGAAGCTGGATCAGATTTTATTGAAACCAACACATTCAGTGGAACCAGCATTGCACAGGCAGACTATGGAACAGAAAACTTGGTACGAAATTGATAATCTCAATCCTGGACTAAATTAGTTGAGACACTTGAGCTGGACCACGTAACCCCTCATCCCCCATCTCCTCTAATCAATGTTGGAAAACGTCGTGTTTTTTAAACAAGAAGGGAAAAAAATCATGATTATCGACATTGTAAATGGGGTAGGGAGAGAACTTGCTTGGTGTCCCACAGTTTTTTTTCCGGAATTGCTGATATTGAAGCAAGGCTGCCTTCTGCCCTAGGGGAGGGACTCAATTATGAAAAGGTCGGAGATGCTCATTGGAAAATTTGAATTAAACCCCTTAAGGAGACCAATCCAGGCATGTTTCGAGCTTTATGTGACCCCTAAAAGATACCACTTAAAACGGAATAGGCTCGATAACCAGGTGCTGTTTAGGAAAGGAGCCCACACTAGTAGAATGAGCTTGAGAGGTCGCCAGAAATGAAGCCTAAAAACTAAGTAAGAGCATTTCTTTTATTATTATTTCTTCGAGCGTAGCCTCACAGCTAAAAATAGTGATGTTCCGTCATTAGCACCCTAAGTAAGACCAGAATCCTAAGCGAGACAAGTATCCCCTACTCATATAGGCGTGCCCTCCCATCCCAGGGCCTTTCACTAAAAGACGTACTTCTATTTCACTCTATAGAAACATAGAAACAATACGAGCTGTTGATGTAGTAATGGTATGAGTAGGGAGAATTTTTTTATCGTCAGTAGAAATAAACTAACAAGTTTCCTTTCCTTTTTCTCACAGTGTTTTCTAAAAGAAATAGAAAGCATTTTCTCTGTTTCTATCCATTTCTGAAAACAGTGGTCAGGCGTGAAAGTTTGGGAGAACTTAGAAAAAGCTGTGGATCCGCAGCACTCACTTGCTTGGCATTTCTGAATCTCCCAAACATTTACTCGTGTTTATATGACTGAAACAAAAGACAAAAATAGCAAATGTACATGTAGATCACAAATGAAGATGACATCCTATAACCAAGATTATAGAGTATCTGATACTGTCTAGGTTAAATACCATTACCTGGTCGGAGGTATGTACATTCAGTTTATTTTCTTGGCCTTTGTTATCCTGTTTAGGTTTACAGGTTAAACAAGACATCAGCTGAAATTGCCAAGAAGGCAGCAAGGGAAGTTGCAGAGGCCACAGGTACAGTGTATAGAATCTGTTAGCATACAGATTGTGTCCTAATATTATATCTAAAATACTACAATTGAATTACTGGAGGTTGGAAAACTTTGATATTTTATCCCTTGAGACTGGAGACTGATCTAGATAGGGGCAAGGCAAGACTGTAACCTTAAAGCTAGATATTACTTAAATATTTTGAACTTTTTTTATTAATAATAATTTGCAGGTGTGAAAAGATATGTTGCTGGTGCAATGGGCCCAACAAACAGAACACTGTCAATCTCACCCAGTGTGGAAAATCCAGGATACAGAAATATCAGTAAGTCTTCTTACTATCTACCAACAGCAAATGATACTTTCCAAGTACATTGTATATTTGTTAGCCAGATGTAGAGATCAAACAGAAGACTGTTTCTCTTCCTTCAACCTTTGTCNATATTACTTAAATATTTTGAACTTTTTTTATTAATAATAATTTGTAGGTGTGAAAAGATATGTTGCTGGTGCAATGGGCCCAACAAACAGAACACTGTCAATCTCCCCCAGTGTGGAAAATCCAGGATACAGAAATATCAGTAAGTCTTCTTACTATCTACCAACAGCAAAGGATACTTTCCAAGTACATTGTATATTCGTTAGCCAGATGTAGAGATCAAACAGAAGACTGTTTCTCTTCCTTCAACCTTTGTCAACCTTTGTCGACCTTTGTCACCCTGATCCGATTAAAACTTCTCAATAATACTAGTTGTCGTTGTGTTGCAAATGGCAAATTATGATAATTACGTCGTGTGATAGTACACGGTGTACATGTATAGTACAAGGTTTTCCTGAAAAAAAAAAAAAGTTCATAGTAAAATTTTGTTGTAAGTCTAAGTTTTGCTTCACAGCATTTGATCAATTGGTTGAGGCGTATGCTGAACAAGCCAGAGGACTTTTAGATGGTGGTTCTGATGTCCTTATGGTGGAAACAATTTTTGACACTGCAAATGCAAAGGTACACAACTATACACTACGTAAGACTCTGTCGTTACATGTTAAGGTGGCTCTGTCACAAAATTTTAAGTCATTTTGCACATGTAGCATTATCTCTTTAGACTGTGTCCACTGAGCAGTTGATTAGCAATTTGACTGTCTTGATTATAATAATTTTAATTAAGGAATACAATTTTTAGCCTTGACATTTACAGTATAACAACTGGTGAGAGAACCGTATATTAAGAGTTCACGTTTTCGTCTAAAATGATGAAGTCGCCCTACTCACTGTTGCACACTGTCTCTGTTTAGATTATGGATTTTTCTCTAAGAATAAATTTAACAACTGTGGCCCTTTTTTTACATAAATTCAGCTGTGACTTGAACATACCTTTCATAATCGTTACACACTCAGTTTATACCTGTAGGCTCTAGCAATTGATGGTCCGCTTTTAACCTTAATATTTCGTAATAAGGGCATAGCTCCCCAGAAATCCGTTTTGTACTTTGGATTGCTTGTCCTTAGAGGTCTTGAGCAGGAAACTACTTCAATCAAGTATAATTCAAATTGAGGGTACATGGCTTTGTATTACATATTAATTTTGTATGGTCATTACTTACAAGACAAGATTGAAACACTTTCCATTTTATTTTTATTCTATTTTGTTTTAGGCTGCATTGTTTGCAATTGAACAACTCTTTGAAAAAGAATACAAGCCTGTCCCAATATTTGTAAGTAACAATGAATAATATATTGTCTACTCTTAATAATATTATTTTGTTGAATGCATAATTAACATACACTTCTAGTGTATTTAAACAATACTTCACAGACAGATGGCAGGAGGTGCAGTGGCCTCAGGGTTATGGTACTTGACTGTGGATCAAGTGGTCGGGGTTCGAATCCTGGCCAGGGACATTGTGTTGTGTTCTTAAGCAAGACGCTTAACTGTCACAGTGCCTCTCTTCGCTCAGGTGTATAAACGGGTACCAGCAAATTAGAGAGGGGAGAGGGGAGTAAAAATACTCCTAGTTGCATTATGCTACTTAGAAATTGAAGATAAATGATGGTCTGATAGGTCACTTGGCTTATATACAGCCTTTTCCATTTACCTTAGAACCAACTTTCAGAGAGAGGGTTTTTTGTGGAATGGAAAAACCAGTGAAAGTGATTTTTTGTTTTTTACAGTATATTATTGACAGCAGTTGTTTCCTTTGTATCAACTTCAGGTGTCTGGTACTATTGTCGACAAGAGTGGTAGAACACTCTCAGGTCAAACAACTGATGCTTTTGTTATCAGTGTTTCTCATTCCAAGCCCCTGAGGTAAGTCCTGAAGTTAAATGTAGCGTAAAAGAAACAGAGTGTGTTTACTTCAACCTTTACTTCATATGAATTTAATTCTTCAATCCACAATTGTAACTGGTTCATGTAACTGTGAATATTATTAATAATTATTTATGATGATTAGAATGTTCATTACTCAGGTGAGTTTGTAACTAAGGTTTTTTAGGTGTTTGTAAATTAATACAAAATGCACAACCCCACACACAGATGTGCAATAATAATGTTGAAATAAAGTTTTTTTGTTGCTCTGGTTCAACTTTATAGCAATCACATGATTGTACAGTGCCTCCAAGACCCCTCTCCCCTGAAAATCTATCTTCCTGCCATTCTCTCCCATCCCCTCCTTTCTCCTACCTCGTCCTTCTCCTCCCCTCCCCTTCCCCTTGAACAAACGAATTTGTAAAAAAATGTCGTAAGCCAGTGAGCTAATTGTTGGCCACCTGCTTAAATTTTTGTCTCGCTCGTTATTTCTTTAACAGCATTGGACTTAATTGTGCTTTGGGTGCAGCAGAAATGAGGCCATTTATAGAAGCTGTTGGACTGTGTACAACAACATACGTCCTCTGTTATCCTAATGCAGGTAACAAATCTCTTCCATTGGCTAATTCTTATTAATAATATATAAAATATATATATACATATTTTTGTTGGGGAATGGCTGGGTTGATGGCTCCAGGGCTTCAACAAGCAACTGACCAACCAGATGATTAGCCCTGTTGTGAGAGACTAGATTCATGTCTAGTAAACCTTGATTCATTTCAGGTCTTCCAAATACCTTTGGAGGTTATGATGAAACACCAGAGATGACTGCAGAACAGTTAAAGGTACATTTATGAAAAAGAACATCGTCTTAATTTGTGCAGCTAGATTTTGGTCACCATGCATATGACAACACAATAAAAACCAGATTAATTTTTATTAACTTTTTTGTTTGGATTTTCTGGATTTAGTTCTTTTTGCACTATATTGATCAGTTGAAGTTTCTGTTCATCAGACAGAGTATAGTGCATACCTCTAACAAGGTATAAAGTTGCTTTATTTTGTAACTTTTCTTGTTTGAGGCAGAGAAAATGAAAAAAAAAATCAGACACTTTTTCAAGAAAATGGAGCGCATTAATCTGTATCTGATATGTACAGAGCTCTGTAACTATGTAGTTTTTTACTGTACACAGCGTAGGTTCCCTTTCGTGGATGTACCTATAGTATGCTAATTCTGCTACTTTATGTTATACAGTTTACACTAGCTTAACAGTGTAAAAAAATTTACTTTACAAACATTAACTTTTTAATTAGCACTTTTTATTAAATTATGTACATGTCAATAATCGCTGCTGTAGAATTTTGCAAAAGATGGACTTGTGAATCTCGTTGGTGGCTGCTGTGGAACTACTCCTGCTCACATTAAGTAAGTATACACTGATGATTAAAAATGTCTTTTCTCCATTTGAATTATTGGTAATTAAAGATACTCATTATTAATGAACAGCTTAATTGTACAGATGAGTCATGGAGTCTTAAAATTTGAAGAAATTCACTTAAGTGCATAAAATATCTTGTAGTTATTGGATTATTCAACCTCAACAATCTTACCAATTAAGCAGTACTACATGTACTGGTAATATTGTCTTAGTCAAATGACAAGAACCATGAATGTTATTTACTTATTTTTACATATGGCAGAGAACATGCGAGAATGAATGATAAAAATCACTAAATATTATTACACAGGAGTCCAGGAAGAGAATCTAAAATGTGTCAGTTGGTTTAGGGAATGACAAACGATATTTTAGTAACAATTTATTCCAGAGTAGTTTTAAACAATTGAATACCAGTAACTGTTAATTTCATTTGAACGTCTCTTTCAGAGCAATAGCAGAAGCAGTCAAACCATACAAACCAAGACCAATACCAGAAGATCCATATGCCAATGCAATGAACCTTTCAGGTACGTTTTCAATCTCTCAACACAAGTTAAAAATTGTAATGTTTTACCCTATGTTATCAACAGTCACGGTTTCATTTGGCCAATATTCATTTTTTTTTTCCTGTGCTATTGGGTGTTAGGTCTCGAGCCAGGTCGAATCACACCAGACACTTTGTTCGTGAACATTGGTGAACGTTGCAATGTGGCTGGGTCCAGAAGATTTTGTAGGCTGATTAAGGATGGAAAATTTGAGGTATATACAACTTGACCATTAACTTTTTTAAATGTTTCAAATAGCTTGACTGTGGAAAAGGATATTAAGGGTAATACCCACCTTCATTTTCTGCCTCCTATTAAAATGTTATAATTTCTGAACAACACACAGGAAGCTCTTGCTGTTGCCAAACTTCAAGTGGAAAATGGTGCACAGATTTTAGATATCAACATGGATGAAGGCATGTTAGATGGAGTGGCATGCATGGCAAAGTTTGTCAACTTGATTTCCTCAGAACCTGAAATTGCCAAGGTACAGTGCTATTTTCTTATTGTGATTAACCTGTACAATAACAGCTCTTAAAGAATGTTTCTGTTAAGTACATGTATGACTGCACTCAGATTACAAAATTCTGTTGTTTTATTTTTTACATAATTTACTTTAATTTACAATTCTAATTTTGGACAGAAAAAAAGTCCAAAAATAAAACCGCGTCCAAAATTTTTACAGCACAGTATAAAACTTCGAAGTAGCTTCAAAGCTCATATTTCCTTTTTGCTGGGCTTTATGGAGCAAACTCTAGTTGAGACAGTGCTTGACATAAGTTGATAGAATTTGTGTAATTTTCTCATTGGTGTTTTCATAAGAACCTTGAGGCTGTAGTGCAGGTAAAGCTATCATTTTCACAGATTTTTTCAGTCTAATTTGCACTTTGCAGGTGTAAATTTATTTTTATTAGCTACGTTTCGGCAAACTGTCCTAAATTTTATTTGTCCAAAAATTTGACCAAAATGAGATAAAAAGTGTCTGAAAATTAAACGTCCAAAATAGTACTACTTAGTCCAGCTTAATTAACAGGATCTAAAAATATTGCTGGGTTCAAATTTATGTCATTGTCTTGAGGTAAATATTCAATAATCATACACTTCTGGTATTAATTTAAAACAGAAGAAAATTGGTGCAGCTGTAGTATTAAGTATTTATTAATTTATCTTAATTTTTTTTCGTGGCAGGTTCCTCTTTGTATTGATTCATCCAACTTTGCTGTGATAGAAGCTGGGCTGAAATGTACACAAGGAAAATGCATCGTCAACAGCATCAGTCTGAAGAGTGGAGAGCAAGACTTCTTAGAGAAAGCCAAGATCATTAAACGTTACGGTGCAGCTGTGGTGGTTATGGCATTTGACGAGGAAGGACAAGTGAGTGTTTCCATTAAACGTAAAAGAAACGCTATTTGGTATAATTGTTTGGAAAGCAAAGGCATTGTTGCCTAATGGTAAATGTGCTTGCCTCCAGATCAAGCTGTTTCAGGTTTAGCACTCCGAGTATAAAAGGGAAAATTACATTTTACTTAATTGCATCCAGTTTTGCGTTTAAAAAATACAGGGATTTTCTTCTGGTCGGGGGAGATATTTGGGAAGTGAGTAGTCTTTGAAAGGTATGTTATGAAAATCTGAAGCTGATTTTTCTTCATCATTCCCCTTCAGGCAGCAGAGTTAGAAGACAAAATAAGAATCTGTACACGCTCATACAATCTGCTGGTCTCCAAAGTGAACTTCAACCCTAATGACATCATCTTTGACCCAAACATCCTCACAGTTGCAACAGGAATGGAGGAACATAACAACTATGGAAAATACTTCATTGAAGCTACAAGGGCTATCAAGGTAGGAGTTTATCATTATCTATACAATCATGTGCTTTCATTTATAATACGTGTAAGGTTTATGATGCCTAGATATTGTGAGAGATTCAAACACATAATTGTCATTATAAATACTACAATAACATGTATTAGAAAACACCCTGTAAGAAAGAGCACATTTAATAAAGCCATACTCCTACATTTGATTGTACTGTATTTGATTGACTGTATAATTCAGTAGAATTGCAGAATTAGCATGAGCTGTTGACATAATGAATTATTAGTGCAAGCAAACGAAATTCTCATTTTGGTAACCAAAATCAATAGTTGCTGAGTGCAGGTAGTTTTCCAAAAGAAATTTGTTACATTTTCTCTGTGTTTCTATCAAATTATAGAAACATTTGTGAAAGTTTGTGGACTTGAAAAAGCTGAGGAATAACTTGAATTTGGCTCAGGTTTCCACAACATAATTTCCTGCTCTCCCATACTGTTTCCTTTGTTAAATTTATGTAACTTGATAGCTAGGAACACAGATTGTATTCTGTTTCTTAAAATGTTATGACTAGTAATTGTATTCAATTTTTATTTCCTTTTAAGCAAACTCTTCCTGGTGCCCGAGTTAGTGGAGGTCTTTCCAACTTTTCTTTCTCATTCCGTGGAATGGAAACAATAAGAGAGGCTATGCACAGCGTTTTCTTGTACCATGCTATTAAGGTTAATAATCAAGTTATCAGACATGAGAGACAGTGTTTGATGACTTCATAATGACAAGAACAGAGGTGGAAGAATGACATGCAGCAATTACTGTGTTTTTGACAGAACTTGATCTGTTTGGAAAAGTGATGAAACACTGTCTCAAGTGTCAATATACAGTAATGGATGGGGTGCATTCGTGTAACTTGAACTGAGGAGCAAACAAATAAAATTGTTAAAATATATTCTTATGAAAACCAGAAATCTATGTCACAAACATGTGACGGAAGTGTCGGAATGATGCACCAAACATCAAGTCATCAAGGTTCAGATGCTGAGAGCGGCCACTGAGTAAGACACGTGACTCATAAAAACTTTCTTGTAAACTGTCAGGGAACCTAGAAAAGTGTCAATAGTTAATGTTTGATAAACTTTCATACCATTTTGCAAGAGTAGCAGGTTTTTTAATTCCAGCTATCAGTCAGTGACTTGGCTCTTCTGATTTCATCTAAGCAAATGGAGTTCTTGATCAAAGTTGTTACAAGTCCAAGTATTTTATTTAGTATAAATATTATTACACTTTATAAAAAAACTTTAATTTATAATCTTAAAATAACTCTGATTTTTTTTTTGCAGGCTGGATTAGATATGGCCATTGTTAATGCTGGTAATCTTCCAGTGTACGATGACATTGAACCCAAACTACTGCAATTGTGTGAGGATCTGCTGTGGAACAAGGATCCAAATTGTACAGAAAAACTGCTGCAGTACGCACAAGTACGTCACAATCATGAACACATGTGACATCGCATGAAAATATCATGCATAAAAAGGTGCACAATCAGGAAGGGATTTCTTTTGCTGACTGAGAGAAAAGTTTAGAATATGACCTGGGCTTTACATGTAGGTTACAAAAAAAAAAAGATACATTGTATGCATAATTATTTATGTGACATTTACTCTGAAAAATGATTGGCAGAAAACTGAGTGTTTGTAATTGTATTACATGTAAGTGCTTGGTTTTACGAATTTAATGGTAGTGAATATTAATGCCAGTTTCTAACCACACCCAAAATTGTTATCTGGAACTTTGTTCATTTATGAACATGACTGTCACACTGGTACAAACCACAATCAACCCAAAGACTCGTCAAACTGTTTTCTGATATTCCTAATTTTTTTTTTTGGACGCAGGGATTGGGAAAAGGGGCAAAGAAGCAGGTGGTCACGGATGAGTGGAGAAATGGAAATGTTGACGAGAGACTGGAGTATGCCTTAGTGAAGGTGCAAAAATAGTATATCAATGATATTGTTTTCCTTTTTGACTTTTTGTAATAGCCTGAATAAACAAATGCATCTTTATGGACTTGATAATTCCCCTGCTTACAAGATTCCTGAGATTTGGTGATGGCACATTCTCGTCCCCCAAGGTGTTCTTCCTTTAGGCCAGCACCAGGAATCGCAACCTCCGCCCACAATTCTCAGACTCCCATTTGAATCTGACAAATCTGATTGGCTGAGAATACTAACTGAATACTCTACGAATGCTCAGAAAATCCAGTCTGGACAGAGACGGCAATTCTTGGTGTCGACCAAAGGATTGTGGCATCTGGGGATGCGACTGCTGATGACGAGGCTCTACAGAAATTAGTTGTAGACAACTGAGAGCTATGATATATCAGAGCTGTCTTATACTGAGGAATAAATAGCTTGCAAATTTATTCTGCTTTCTTTGTCATTCATGGTTGAAAATTCCTCTTTTGTTTCCAAAATAAAGCATACCCTGCCAGTTTTCTGTTTTATTATT